AAGATTTCTCAATGACAGTAATAGAAAGTGATTAATGTGTGCCACTCTCTTGAAACCACTTTTTATGCAATAACTTGTTTAAACCTCATAATCACTTTATAATGTAAGTAGTATTATTATCCTTATTTCATAGATAAGAATAGTGATTCACATATCAGGTACATAATTTTCCCCCAAAGAAAGAGAAAACAGTAGAGCCTGGAATTTCCTGTGAAAGATTTTCTTCATGAAGTTTACTAAGTAGCCTAGTTGTTTTTCCTTTGACACAAGAGTTTCTTTGAAACATGCTTATCGGTTTCTAAATATGTGTGTGTGTGTGTGTGTGTGTGTGTGTGAGAGAGAGAGAGAAAGAGAGAGAGAATATCTTGGTTATTAGAATCCAACTTTACCTTGTGTGTAGACACTCTGAATTTTTTAAAATGTGTTGGGGCTGGCACTGTGGCATAGTGGGTAAAGCTGCTGCTTGCAGTGCCAGCATTCCATATGGGCGCCAGTTGGAGTCCTGGCTGCTCTTCTTCCAATCCATTCTCTGCTATGGCCTGAGAAAGCAGTAGAAGGTGACCCAAGTCCTTGGGTTCCTGCATCTATGTGAGAGACCTGGAAGAAGCTCCTGGCTCCTGGCTTTGGTTTTGCGCAGCTCTGACCATTGCAGCCAATTGAGTAGTAAACCAGTGGATGGAAGACCTCTCTCTCTCTCTCTACCTCTCCTTCTCTCTCTGTGTAACTCTGACTTTCAAATAAATAAATAAATCTTTAAAAAAAAAAAAATGTGTTGAAACTATTTTCGTTGATAGACTGTCATCAAGTTTTTTTTTTTTTTTAAAGATTTATTTACTTCTTTATTTGAAAGGCAGAGTGAGAGAGAGAGGAGGGAGAGAAAGAGACAGACAAAGAGAGGGACATCTTCCATCTGCTGACTCACTCCCCACAGGATCTTAACAGCCAGGTCTGGGTCAGTTCTAAGCCACCAGTTGACAACTCCATCTGTGTCTCCCATGTGTGTTGCAGGGGCATAAGCACTTGGGACATCTTCTGCTCTCCAGGCACATTAGCAGGGAGAAGGATTGCAAGCCAAGCAGTCGAGATTTGAACCCAAGTTTATATGGGATGCTGATGGGAAGGTTAACCTCCATCACCACAACACTGACTGCTGTCATCAAGTTTTGTAACTGTTCCTTGAGAGTTTTAAAAAATAATGTTTTCTCTAACTGTTGCAAGTTTCCATATATATCTACTAGTTTAAATTTATCATGATTTTTGGGTTTTGTCTATTTTTCTCTTGTAATAAATACAAATTATGTACAGAAATATGTTAAAGTCCATAGTGACATTAGGTTCTTCTAGTGTTTTTTATAGGCCTGTTAAGTTTTATCCTTATATATTTTATAGATATGTTATCTGGTATATTCAAGTTTGTAATTTTTGTTTTATACTGATAAACTGAAATTTTTTAATCATTGTGTTTTTCTTTGTATCCATGACAGTGCTTTTTACTTTGAAGTTTATTTGCCTGGTGTTAATATAGCTACTCCAGCCTCATTGGATATATATCAGGATGTACCTGATATATATTTGTATTAGTATGTACCTAATATATATTATTGTATCTGTTATTTACTTTAATTATTATATATATTTTATTAGTATGTACTTGATATATATTACTGTATCATTTATTTACTTAAATTATTACCTTAACTTATTAAAATTTCTGTGACTTTTTGTGTTACATGCAGATTTCACAAATATCTATGAATGTAGTTTTTTTTAAAGATTTATTATTTGCATGAAAGACAGTAGGGTGAGCCCGCGCCGTGGCTCACTAGGCTAATCCTCCGCCTTGTGGCGCCGGCACACTGGGTTCTAGTCCCGGTCGGGGTGCTGGATTCTGTCCCGGCTGCCCCTCTTCCAGGCCAGCTCTCTGCTGTGGCCAGGGAGTTCAGTGGAGGATGGCCCAAGTGCTTGGGCCCTGCACCCCATGGGAGACCAGGAAAAGTACCTGGCTCCTGCCATCAGATCAGCGCGGTGCGCCAGCCGCAGTGTGCCGGCTGCGGCGGCCATTGGAGGGTGAACCAAAGGCAAAAAAGGAAGACCTTTCTCTCTGTCTCTCTTTCTCACTGTCCACTCTGCCTGCCAAAAAAAAAAAAAAAAAAAAGAAAAAGAAAAGACAGTAGGGTGGAGAGAGAGAGAGAGAGAGAGAGGATCTTACATCTGCTGGTTCACTCTCCAAATAACTGCAATGACCTGGGCTAGGACAGGTTGAAGTCAGTTCTGCCATGGAGATGACAAGGACTCAGGTACTTTGGTATCTTCTGCTGCTCTATATTTGATGAGGGAAATTTTATCCTTTACTGGAAATGGTAGGCCACATCTGCAGGATATTTTGGCAAAATGTAGTGATTCATTGCATTCCATTGTGTCAGCCTAGCTTGTGCAGCATAAATCTCAATTATCTTCACCTGCAGGGTTTGACCACACAAACTTCTCTTGAACTCTAGATCTCTTTTAATTTAGTTAAAATTTTTTATTTGTTTATTTTTACATTATTCAAAAGGCATAGAAGCAGACAGAAAGACAGTGGAGAGAAATATTCCAGCCACTGGTAAACTCCACAAATACCTGTAACATCTGGACTGAGTCATGTTGAAGTCAAGAATCTAGAATTCAATTTAAGTCTCCCACTTTAATAGTAGGGACCCAATTACTTAACCCATTACCTGTTACCTCCCGGGGTGAACACTAGCAGGTAACTGAGTTGGAAGTAAAGGAGCCAAAACTTGAACCAAGACACTCTAGTATATTTTACAGATTTATTTAATTATTTAAAGGCAGAGTTACAGGAAGAGAGAGAGAGAGAGAGAGAGAGAGAGATCTTCCTTCTACTGGTTCACCCCCTAATCGGCCACAATGGCCAGTGCTAAGCCACTCCAAAGCCAGAGTTTGGAACTCTATCTGGGTCTCTTACATGGAGAGCCCCGCGGACTTGGGCTGTCTTTCCTGGAAGCATTTGCAGGAGTTGGGATAGAAAGTGGAACAGCCTGGGCTGGAACTTAAAGGATGTGCCCATAAAGGATGCTGGTGTTGCAGGTGGCACCTTAACCCACTGTACCACAACACCAGCCACCACTCCAATATCTTAACTGCTATACCAAATACCCTTGTAATTAATTTCTAATTCTCAACTACAGCACTTTTCCACATTCCTAATAAAGGAAAAAGAGATTATTTAAATGACACCAGAGAGATCCTCAGTTCACATTTTGCCTTCAGCTAGTGATTAATCACCCTTGATCTGTTGCTGTCTTTTCCTAATGCATCAATTCAGTAAAATACAATCAATGTCTATGAAGGAAGAATCTTGTCAGTGGAATAGAAAACTGTTTATAAGATATATTTCAAGAAGATATTAGGGGGGCCGGTGCCGTGGCTCACTTGGTTAATCCTCCGCCTGCGGCGCCAGCGTCCCATATGGGTACCAGGTTCTAGTCCCAGCTGCCCCTCTTCCAGTCCAGCTCTCTGCTGTGGCCCAGGAGGGCAGTGGAGGATGGCCCAAGTGCTTGGAACCTGCACCCCATGGGAGACCAGGAGAAACACCTGGCTCCTGACTTCGGATTGGCGCAGCGCCAGCCGTAGCGGCCATTTGGGGAGTGAACCAACGGAAGGAAAACCTTTCTGTCTCTCTCTCTCTCTCTCTCTCTCTCTCTGTCTATAACTCTACTTGTCAAATAAATTTTTTAAAAAAAGAAGATATGAGGATGAAAAATACATATATGCAATGAAATTTTTTCATAGGGTATTGAAAGTAAAGACATTCTTTTTAAACAATTGAATTTCAAAGGTAAATATGCAATTGTTTCTCATTTTCATTCAATATAATTTATAAAGCTATAAGGTGAATTTTAAAACTGCGATTTCATCTTATATGATTATTGGAATATGAATATATGTGTTTTTTTCCAAGTGTAAAGGCAGTTAAAAGGAGCTACGGTTAGCACAGCCACTGGGTAGACTGAAAAGGAGTAGGTGCTACATGGGGAAAGTAGCAAAGTGGCCCAGGTGCAGCAGCTCTGAAGAAAGGCCAAGAAGAAACAGAGCTGTGGGACCTAAGGAGGACCATAAAAGCTGAAAAGACAAATGGGGCACAGTGAATAAAAGAAATGTGCAAAGTAGAATAAAGGATACATGATGCTAAATCACAGAAATATCAGTAAAGTACACTCTCTTCAGAGACTCCTGCCATAGTTGAACAAAGACCACCTAGTTTATCCCATAGTAAAAAGTGAAATTGGAGTTGGCCCAATATTGACACCAAATATTAGAAGAAACAAAGTTGAAAAAAATGTTCCTAATGAATATGAAACAAAATGAGAAGGGACAGAGGAAAGGCCTAGCCAAATATTTTATCATGAATAAATGAGTAAAAAAAGAAAATTAATGAAGAATGAAGGAAGACCTTAATGTGAAAAACAAGATTTTAGGGAAAATTTTAGAGAAAATGAAATGTAAATTGTCAGAACACAGGAAAAAGCAAGAACAAAAAAATTACTAAAGACAAAATTGGAAGGCGCATAAGGAATAGCACTGGAAGAGATCTGAGATATAAATAAGAAAAGTTACCAAAATAAGATAGAAATATAGAGGAGTCAAAAGGAAGGGAAGGAAACAGTTGGATATAGAAAAAAAAAAAAGCAAAGGAGATCAAATGTACATAATTGGAGTTCCTTAAGAAGAAAGTCAAAATAATAGAACAGAGTAGGGAAACATATAATTTAAAAGAAACTCTTGAGATGAAAGAAAGCTTGGATCTACACCCTTGAAAAGGGGTGCAATGTGCTAGGGAGATTTGAATTATAATGGCTAATACTGAGATACAATTTGGTAAGGTGATTGCTCCTTGAAATGTACAGAATTGTTGGCAAAGGTAGACCAAAATTTCAAGTAACTTAGCAGAGTGTAAAACAGATCAACAAGATCTCTTATTTTTCTTTTGTAATTTTCAGAACTAGAAGACAATGAAGCAATGTCTATGTCATAGGCAAGGTAAGGGAATGATATACACAGCTAAGTCATACTTCAAGTGAAATTTTAATAGGTTTTTTTTTTTTTTGGTTATGCTAGTACTCAAGGGTTATTTCTCACAAAAGTCCTGGTTGAGGAAATTGCTTGCAGGTGAACCTCAATTAAACAAGTAGCTGGGAAGCAATAACAAAATCCTGAATTTTGAATTAATTTTATTTAGAAAAAAGATGAAAGGAATTATGGAGATGGACATGAAGAAATAAGTATAAATTTATATGTCTAATAATGGGAAATGTTATTCACTTACAGAATGAGAAAGGAAAAGATGAGAAGTTGAAAAAATTTTTTATCATTCCAAATTTGAAAAATGAACTAATAGATTTAAAATAAGAGTAAAATAACGTTTACTACATATACTTATAAAGGTATACTATATCATCTTTTGTTAAATTGGCATTACTGCTACTGTCTAAATCTGGAAACTATTTCCCAGATTCCTCTTTATTCTATGGAATCTTGTTAGACTTGGTCGAAGATAGGAACCCTGCACAGTTTGGAAGAGGTAAGCGAAACAAGGGAAATTGATTTGAATGGCTATGACGGTCAGACATGATAAGGATGAAGTGGTACAAACAGACCTCAGCAAGTTTTTATCCTCTTACTGTTCTGAGTTAAGGTTTCTCCTGAATCCCTGGCCTGCTGAGCAACCCTGGCTCGGTGTGCACAAGCAGAGCAAGCCAGTGTTCACACAGAAAGCAGTTTCCTTCGACATGCTCAGTGCATTTCTTGATAGATGTGCACAACTCCTTGGATTTGGTCACAACTTCAGGCTTTTGCATCCAGGCCAGTGTGGTCAGTGACTGTTTCTCTAATTTTTCTATTCTTAATCTGTAGAGCTTCACATTTGAAGAATTTCTAATTTCTAAATTAAGCCTCTTTCTGCCATGGTACCTGTAATGGCTTTAGTTTATGAGTGACACGAGGAATGAGTGTTAACCAATGTAATGTTTTTGACTTAACAAAAACAGGCAAATGTCCTTTCAAAAGAAAAAAATAGAGTGATTACCTCAATATAAAACAAATGTAATTCAGATCCCAAGCATTATATTAGACAAGGAGGGTAAACTTCTCATGCTATAGGCTTCTCTTTATAACCAAATTTTAATTTCTGAATACATGAGTGATACTCAAAATGTTAATGAAAAATCCATACTATGAAAAAACCATGCATGAATTTCAAAAATGTTTGCACCAAAATACTCATCGTTTAATCCATTTCTTATGAACTTTTTGAAGTCATTCATATATGTACAAAATAGCACAATAGCAGCATAAACTAGACTCTTTAATATTTAAATCTTGACTTTTAATTTTAGTGTCAATACTTTTGGTATTTTCCCATTAAGGAAGATGCTGGATTTGGATAAAAGATATACTATTTTCATGTTCAGGAAGTTTTCACTGTGTGATTTAAGAAAAAACTAAAATAGTTGTTGAATTTTATCAGATGCCTCATTAGTATTTTTAAGAGACTATGAAAGGATTTTTCTTTTTGGGTTATCACCATGATAAATATTTTTTTAACTTTTATTTAATGAATATAAATTTCCAAAGTACAGCTTATGGATTACAATGGCTTCCCCCCCATAACGTCCCTCCCACCCACAACTCTCCCCTTTCTCACTCCCTCTCCCCTTCCATTCACATCATGATCATTTTCAATTCTCTTTATATACAGAAGATCAGTTTAGCATACATTAAGTAAAGATTTCAACAGTTTGCTCCCACACAGAAACATAAAGTGAAAAATACTGTTTGAGTACTAGTTATAGCATTAAATCTCAATGTACAGCACACTAAGGACAGAACTCCTACATGAGGAGTAAGTGCACAGTGACTCCTGTTGTTGACTTAGCAAATTGACACTCTTGTTTATGGCCTCAGTAATCAACCTAGGCTCTTGTCATGAGCTGCCAAGGCTATGGAAGCCCCCTGAGTTCACTGACTCTGATCATATTTAGACAAGGCCATGGTCAAAGTGGAAGTTCTCTCCTCCCTTCAGAGAAGGTACCTCCTTCTTTGATGACCTGTTCTTTCCACTGGGATCTCACTCGCAGAGATCTTTCATTTAGGTGGTTGTTTTTTTTTTTTTTTTTTTTTTTGCCAGAGTGTCTTGGCTTTCCATGCCTGAAATACTCTCATGGGCTTTTCAGCCAGATCCGCATGCCTTAAGGGCTGATTCTGAGGCCAGAGTGCTGTTTAGGACATCTGCTATTCTATGGGTCTGCTGTGTATCTCACTTCCCATGTTGGATCATTCTCTCCCTTTTTGATTCTATCAGCTAGTATTTGCAGACACTATTCTTGTTTATGTGATCCCTTTGGTTCTTAGTCCTATCATTATGATCAACTGTGAACAGAAATTGATCACTGGGACTAGTGAGATGGCATTGGTACATGCCACCTTGATGGAATTGAATTGGAATCCCCTGGTATGTTTCTAACTCTACCGTTCGAGGTAAGTTGGCTTGAGCATGTCCCGAATTGCACACCATGATAAATATTGACCTATCTGTACATTTTTGGCGTTAATCCCACATTAATCTTTTAACATGATGTCAATTATTTTCTGAATATCATTTTATGAAGCTTTTTTTCATTAATGTTTTTGGTCTGCATTGCTGTTGACATTGTTGTGTAATCTGTTAAGTTTAGGAATCAGTTTTATGCTCCATTCATATAAATATTTTAGAATTAAATATTTTTAAAGAGGACTAAAAATATTGTATTATCTGGTCTGTACAAATGACTGGATCATTTGGTTTTTGGAAGGATAAGAGTAGTCTTTAAGGAAATTGATCATTTTATGTTCTCTTTCCTCCAGAGAGTTGTTATTGAATATAAGCACTTGAAAACTAGAAGGATGGTAGAAAATGGTGATGAAGATTGCTAGATATGATGTCCTTGGATATCTTGGAGCAAAAGAAATTTTATTTTCTTGTTCTGGGGGTACTACAAATGTCATTTTAAGTAATAATTTGTGGTAAAAGAATTCTATTTCAGTTGCCTATATTTATGCCTTGAAAAAAAGTAAAATGAATTTTTTTTTTCTTTTTATTTTTGACAGGCAGAGTGAACAGTGAGAGAGAGAGAGAGAGAGAAAGGTCTTCCTTTGCCGTTGGTTCACCCTCCAATGGCTGCCATGGCCGGCGTGCTGCGGCCGGCACACCGCGCTGATCTGATGGCAGGAGCCAGGTGCTTCTCCTGGTCTCCCATGGGGTGCAGGGCCCAAGCACTTGGGCCATCCTCCACTGCACTCCCTGGCCACAGCAGAGAGCTGGCCTGGAAGAGGGGCAACCGGGACAGAATCCGGCGCCCTGACCAGGACTAGAACCTGGTGTGCCAGCGCCGCAAGGTGGAGGATTAGCCTATTGAGCCATGGCGCCAGCCTTAAAAACTTTAAAAAAAAAAAAAAAAAACTTTTTCAAAAAACTTTTTTAAAAAATATTTTTAAAACAAAAAAAAATGGGAATGTAGTGATAAATGTTTAAAGTAGAAAGGAATTTCAGAAAAAATATATAAAGATTATGGTAAAAGGAAGTAAGAGGAGGATGGGTAAGAAAAGTGAAAGAGCAGCATGAAGAGCAAAACAGAAAAAAGGCAAAGCAAGTTAGACTTTAGACTACAAATTAGACTACGAATTGAATAACACGGAAAGTTGAGAGCATGGCACAGTTCTCAGAGGCCAAATTCCAAGCAGACAGAAAAGTAAAATTATTTACACATTGATGCTGACTGATTCATCTCTTGGTGATGCAAATCTGGGGATGCTAAGACATGATCATGTTATATATAAGCAGTTGACAGGATAGAGGATATTTTAGATTTTGTGATTAGTATGATTATGATTATGATTATTATATTTTTAGGATAGATGGAGTGAGTGGTTGTATCACTGCTCGAGATGCCTACCTCCCAAATCAAGTGCCTGGTTTCAAGTCCTAGCTTCACTCCTTATTCCAACTTTTCACTAATGTGCACCTGGAGAATCCAGGTACTTGGCTCCCTGCCACAGATGTGTGAGACCTGAACTGATTTTCTGGATGCTGGCTTCTGCCTGGCCCAGCCCTGGTTGTTGCAGATGGCTCAGGAATGAACCAATGGATAGGAACTCTCTGTCTCTGTCTCTCTGCATTTCAAATACATTAAATAAGTAAATTAAAAAAAATGTAAAAATAAATATTAGAACAGCTAAAAGCAAGTTACTAAAATAAACTACATTTGATTTTTAAAATTAATTTCTCAAGCCTAAATTTGATTTCAATGATCTGAATGAAAAAATAATAACTAATAGTGTAGAAACTTGCCTCTTAGATAGAGTAACATATTTTACTGAGATTTAAATTGGCTAGTTAAATTTTCTCATAAAACTTCGTTTACATTTTGAGACTGTTGGTCATTCTAAGATCTTGGGCATATGAAAGTTGCATTTTAATGCTAGAATAATATTTGAGTGAGAGTAAAACAAATGTAGACTTTTAAATGTGTGCTTTTTAGATAGTATTTAAAACTTTAATTAGAAATGTAACCCAGGGCTGACAGATTTTATTTGTTGGCCTTGAACAACATGCAGGCAATAAGTCTGCATGAAGCTCATAAACATATTGGAAGTGTGCCCTTTTCCTGCCTGCTGTGTGAGAGTCTTGATGACTGGCAGTCTCACAAGCATTAGACTGGGAATAACAGACCATCATCTGGATATCTTAGTCACTTATTAACATCTCAACAATTTAAATTCTTCTTCTTTTTTTAAGATGTATTTATTTGAAAGTCAGAGTTACAGAGGCAGAGGGAGAGAGAGGGAGAGAGAGAGAAAGAGAGAGAGATCTATCTACCAGTTCACTCCCCAGATGGCTGCAACTTCTGGAGCTGTGCTGATCTGAAGCCAGGATCCAGGAGCTTCCTCTGGTTCTCCCACATAGGTGCAGGGTCCCAAGGACTTGGGCCAGCTCCTACTGCTTTCCCAGGCCATAGCAGAGAGCTGGATCAGAAGTAGAGCAGCCAGGACTTGAATGGGCGCTCATATGGGATGCTGACACTGCAGGTGGTGGCTTTACCCGCTATGCCACAATGCTGGCCCCTGCACACTTCTTAAAATAGCATATTATGATAGTTTTCTTTAAAGCTTCTAGAATGATATAAGTAAACCTTAACAATGATTATATTTCTCATTTGGAAGTTATTTTGTAACTAAGTCATTAGTGGCATAAATAAAATAGATTAAAAGTATCAATTATAGTAAATTGTAAATTGTGTTTATAGTCCATTAGTGGAAAACTTAAATGCAATAATTACTTAATAGTGCTGAGTAACATATGCTCTCATACTCAACAGAATAGTGTTTATTCCATTCAAAATTGAAAAAAAAAAGACTTTTTTGTGGTCTAAGTCAGCAAGCAATTGTTTTAGGTTTCACATTGACTGGCATTTTCTGGGGTCATGAGGAGCCACCTCATCTTGCAGATATTGATATTACTGCTCTTTAGCCGTAGAAGAGACTTGGGACCAAACACAAAGTGACTTGATTGATATCTTGTCCCAAACAACACTCTCAAACACTTAGAAAACTTTTCTTAGGCCTTTTCAGAAGGTGTGAGACTACTTGGTCAGTACAATATGCATTTAGCCAAGAAGGGATCATTTTCTCCGTTATATAGAAACCCTAAAACTTTTTCCACTAATAAAACCCATCTAATAAAATCCAAAAACAGTGCCTATTATCTTGTCAGAAAAGGGGAATATATCCAAAAGAAGAAGAAAAAAACTGATCAAACCATCGGAAGAAAGAGTAATTTAGTTAAGCATTTTTTTTTTTTAATTTCAGGGAACATCTGTGAAATTTTCCAGAACTCTCAGCAAGTATTTTGGATTGAGAAAGAGAAGATTGTTTTTTGTTTTTCATTTGTCTTTCTTTGGTCAAACCATTAATACATACAATCAGACACCTATACATTAACCACACTTCTACACCTACCATAGCACACCATACAAGTGTCAACATTATGTCTTTCCTTGCTCTGGTTCACTCTTCATATTACATGTATAGGTTCAAAAAGTAATACAGAAGACTAAAGATCCCATGATTCTAAGTATTTCCAAAAAGATTTACAGCAGTGTTTTCAATTGCTAATTATTGCTGATTTAACCATAGGTTAAGGGCATCACCAGTGCTGATGAGGTTGTGGATAAAAGGGAAACCTAATACATTGTTGGTGGGAATGAAAATTAATTTGCCATTGTGGAGAATATGAAGGTTCTTCAAAAAAGTAAAAGCACATGTCCCATATGATACAGCTATTGCACTTCTGGGAATGAATCCAAAGGAATGAAATTAGTCTATCAAAGAGATAGCCACACTCCATGTTTATTGTAGCACTCTTTATAATTACAAAGTTATAAAATTAATCTAAATGTTCATTATGGTGAATGGATAAGAAACTATGGGATATATACACCATAGAATATTACAGAGCCATAAAAATTAAATTCTGACAGTTGAAACAAAAAGGTGGAATTCTAGATCATTTTATAGATACACATTTGTGTGAACTTGTATATGTTTGTTAGTTGATATGAATCTAATTTAGTGATTACTGGAGGCTGAGTATGATAAGGGGTTGGGAAATGACCAGACAATGTGTCCCAAAATGGAGTCTGGTAGAGGTAATGGATTCTGGTGTCCACAAACGAGTAGAGCAACTACAGTCTGCAGTAATGGAAATGGAAGGGCTCATTGCCTGGAGTGATTGGTTTATGCTATATGTATCTGTTAAAATATTTCATAATAGTGCACAAAGTATACAGGCATTTTATGTTAATCCAAAATTTTAAAAATAAATTTAAAATAACCTTCAGATCTTTACTGGTCTAATTTTGCCCTTACTATATTCCTAAGTAATGCACTATCCTGAATTGAATTTTGTGTTTGGCATTCTTATGAATTTGTATTTATAACAACTTATGGGTATGTCCACATATGATGAATAGGTTTGTTTTGTATGATTTCAAACTTTGTATAAACATATGATGCTATAATTTGTTTTGTTCCTAGTTTAATATATCCCTTACCATAACTTTGTTAATAGAATATTTATTTGTAACAATTATAGCTTTATTTAACTGACTATATTTTCTGTAAGTATTTAATGATGTGATTATTCAAAAATATATGTATTCATTATACTGTTGATAGATACATAATTGATTCCTATACATAAAATACAGTTAGTTAAGTAGAACTTCCTGATGAGTCTTGGTTCTTTGTTTTTAATCACCATGAATTATTATAATTGGAAACAAAGATTCCCTTGAAAATCTATCCCAAATTAGCATGTTATCATTTTTTCAAACTCCATATATAATTAAGAAGTCTCATAATTATTCTTTTCTCAAGCAGATTTTGGATTTTGTCTTCCCCTTTTGTATGCAGAAGTTTAATCTTCATTGCCACACAGTTATCAAATTATTGGATTCATATCTTATTTCTGGTCTTGGTGCCCCCTGAACCTAGGATTTTCTCATGGGTCATCAATACCTGTTCCCCTTTAAGTCTCATCTTTCATTGAATTTTCCACTTTACATTTTAGTGCTACTAAAATATATCTGATCATGCACATGATTTCCTACATGCCATCACTAAATATTATATGCAAATTTTGATCTTATTCCTGAAGATTAAAAATTATTATGGAATAGTTTAAGGACTAAGTAAACTCTTTTAAAAGGGAACCATTGTCATTTTTTTCTTGACTGTTCCATTGTTCTAGTACTCAGTTTTTTCCATTGTGCCATCTCGCTCTCTGGTACATTTTGTGGTGCCTTTTTCTGGTGGCTACTGGGAGATGAAGAATTAAATAATATATACCACTTAGTGAATATTTAAAAATATTTTTCCATTTAGTTTACTAGACTGTCTTTAAATATTAGATCAGACTTATGTGAACCCTAAAATTACAGTGCATCTTGTTTGTACAAAGGGTACTGAAATATATATAAATTTTAAAACAAAATATTTGGTCATCCCTCGGAGACATTCCAAAATTCCCACAAGATTTAGCCCTTAGGAAATCAAACCACTGTGACAACAAACCAAGGTACTGTTGCTTCAGATGACCCAGTTTTCTTGTGGAGTCATGGCTTCTCCAAATGATGAAAATAGATAATGTCACTTGTCAATTAAAAACACATTTTATGGAATCATATAGAATATCACATCAAAACCTGACATGTTAACTTTGAGGTTCTAGTGATCTAAACTGTTTTTTTCTAAATGAAGAAAAAATATTCTTTGGGACAGAGTGACTGTGAAAAATCTACCATAAAACATATATCCCTTCTGTTCATAGAGAGTAAAGAACAATAGTTCTAAATTGTGTTTTTCCATTGACCTCCCTATTGTTGCTGTGGATTCGTTCTGAGAGGAGGAGCGTGGTGGGGGCAAGAGGTGCAGAGTCACCACACAGACCCCAGCAGCCGGGTGAAAGCAGACCAGAGGCAAGCAGCCTGCAGACTCATTTATTTCAGTTGGTACAGCAACTTAAATAGCCAAGGCAGCCAATCCGGTCAAGGGGCGGTCTATGCCCTAACCAATCATAGCCTGTTGCCAGGCAGTTTCCGTTGCCAGCTGCCATCTTGGCATGGCCATCTCATTCCACCACACTCTATAATTTATAATAATTTACAATGTGAGCATTTGTTAAGTGTGTAATAGTTGATCCTGTGCTAATTCTTTTCATGTATTACTTAATTTTCCAAACAAACCATTGAGTTGCACATGATATTTATTTCTTGTTTAGATATGAGAGTACTGAAGGTCAGAGAATGAATTACTTAGCTATGAATGTGCCTAGATTGTATTTTTTTAAAGCTTCATTTTCTTTTTCTTTTTTTAAAGATTTATTTATTTGAATGTCAGAGTTACACAGATAGCAGAGAGGCAGAAAGAGAGAGAAAGAGAGAGAGAAAGAAAGAGAGAGAGAGAGGGAGAGGTCTTCCATCCAATAGTTCACTCCCCAGTTGGCCACTTGGCCAGAGCTGTGCTGACCCAAAGCCAGGAGCCAGGAGCCAGGAGTTAGGAGCCAGGAGTTTCTTCTGGGTCTCCAAAGCGGGTGCAGGGGCCCAAGGACTTGGGCCATCTTTTGCTGCTTTCCCAGGACACAGTAGAGAGCTGGATTGGAAGTGAAGCAGCCGGGTTTCAAACCAGCGCCTATATGGCATGCCAGCACTTCAGGCCAGGGTGTTAATCCCCGCGGAGATTATATATTATACATGTAATTCTTAACTTCATTTTCTTTGAGTCTAACCATTTTTCTAAATTGTTTCCCAATAACTTAATTTATTTAGGTTAGGTACAGAATAAATGTAGTGATACACAACTTTTCACCATTCAGATTAATGGGACCAAATTTAAAAAGCAGAGCTTGAACTCAGGAAGTTCTCAAAAACTAATGGAAAGGCCGGTGCCACGGCTCAATAGGCTAATCCTCCGCCTGCGGCGCCGGCACCCCAGGTTCTAGTCCCGGTCGGGGCACTGGATTCTGTCCTGGTTGCTCCTCTTCCAGTCCGGCTCTCTGCTGTTGCCTGGGAAGGCAGTGGAGGATGGCCCAGGTCCTTGGGCCCTGCACCCGCATGGGAGACCAGGAGGAAACACCTGGCTCCTGGCTTCGGATCAGCGCAGTGCACCGGCCAGTGGATACCAGCCACTTGGGGGGTGAACCAACGAAAAGGAAGACCTTTCTCTCTGTCTCTCTCACTGTCTAACTCTGCCTGTCCAAAATAAGAAAATAAGATCAAAACATCAAGACTCAGCTTGAAAAGGCCCCCACTAATTAATGTGAGATAATTTGAGCATCAAAAATTATAATTACATCAATGGACGATAAATGAAAAGTATCACAGAACATTTTATACTGCTAAATGAAAGGGAGGAAGGAAAGCAAGGAAAACTTTCTTACTCAAGGTAATATTCGATTGGATCCCAGATTAAATCTTAAATGCCCTTAAAGACATAATTTTGAAAGCAGGGAAATTTTTTTTTTATTTTGACAGGCAGAGTTAGACAGTGAGAGAGAGAGAGAGACAGAGAAGAAGGTCTTCCTTCCATTAGTTCACCCCCCAAATGGCCGCTACAGCCGGAGTGCTGCACCTTTCCGAAGCCAGGAACCACGTTCTTCCTCCTGGTCTCCCATGCGGGTGCAGGGCCCAAGCACTTGGCCCATTCTCCACTGCCTTCCCTGGCCACAGCAGAGAGCTGGACTGGAAGAGGAGCAACCGGGACTAGAACCTGGCGCCCATATAGAATGCTGGGCACTGCAGGTGGAGGATTAACCAAGTGAGCCACAGCACTGGTCTGAAAGCAGGGAAATTTGAATATAAAATATATATTAGATAATAGTAATCAATGTTAAAAGCCTCCAATGTGATCATATTATCAATACATAGAAAAATGTTTACTTTCTTAACAGATGCATGCTGAAATATTTAGGTGTGTTTACCTTACTTTTTTTTTTTTAAGGTTTATTTATATATTTGAAAGTCAGAGTTACAGAGACAAAGAAAAGAGAGAGAGAGAAAGAGATCTTCAGTCTGTTGGTTTACTCCCCATGGCCGTTTGCTGGATCAGACCAAAGCCAGGAGCCAGGAGCTTCTTCCAAGTCTCCCATGTGGGTGCAGGGGCCCAAGCACTTGGGCCTTCATCTACTGCTTTCCCAGGCCCATTAGCAGGGAGCTGGATTGGAATTAGAACAGCAGGGACTTGAACCAGAGCCCATATGGGATGCAAGCACTTCAGGCAGCAGTTTAACCTGCCATGCCACTGCATCGGCTCCACCTTGCTTTTTTTTTTTTTTTTAATTTTTATTTATGTATTTGTAAGGCAGAGTTACAGAGAGGCAGAAACAAAGAGAGAGAAAGAGAGAGAGGACTTCCATCCACTGGTTCACTCCCCAAATGGCTGCAATGGCCAGAGCTGGGCCAATCCCAAGCCAGGACCCAGGAGTTTCTTCCACATTTCCCACGTGTGTGCAGGAACCCAAGCACTTGGGCCAGCTTCCACTGCACTTGGGCCATTTTCCACTGCTTTCCCACGTGCATTAGCAGGAAGCTGGATTGGAAGTGGAGCAGCCAGGACTTGAAGGAGCACTATATGGGATGTGGCACTGCAGGTGGCGGCTTTACCTTTTATGCCACAGCTCTGGTACCTTACTTTTGAAGGGTTCAAAAGCAGATACATGCAGGAAAAAATAGATGAGTGTTCATTATATTGTTTTATTCAAGTCTTCTGTGGACTTAAAATTTTGTAAAAATAAGAAAAAGTTAAGGAAAAATTAGAACAACTCATTTTTATAATCGATTTCATTAACTTATTTGACTATTAATGATCTAAAATAATAACTGAAGTTTTGTGCTGGTCTAATTAGTAAAACCTTTTCTCCACTCAGTAATCTGTTGCTTTTGTAACAATTTTCTTTTTTTTTTTTCCATTTTCCCCTTCTTTCTTCCACTCTCTTCACCTCTCCTCTTGTTCATTTTTATAGGAATAAATGTAGACAAACTCACTGGTTCACAGCAACACAATTCCAGGCTCTCTTACTTATTTTCAGAAGAATGTAGAGAATTTTTTACTTTCCTAGTCAATGAGGCTGATGCAAGGTAATATTAAGTCTGGTGTTTGGCTAGGAAAATGTAGAGTTCTCTTAAATAAGTACTTATAATTAGCAGATGGAAACTTAACAGTTTCCTAGGTTGATCAAGGAACAGACTATTTACTATTTAGGGTTTTATTTCCTATAAAGCCACAGTAAGCTTTTGGAAGAGTCCTAGTAAGATAAACACACGTATTAATTTAAAAAATTAAGTTTCATTCTGGCTTAATTTTCCTAGGTTTGTGGTTTAAAAACTTATACTAAAGCAGTAATTACTATCACTTATTGAATGTCAATTACAGGTCCAAAAACCTTTATATACATAATCAAAAAAAATTTTCTACCCAATGTTAAGTATTATCCCCATACTCATAAATGACTCAGAGATATTAGGTGTCTTTCTCAGGTCCCTACAATTTGCTTAGTGTTCAAGTTAGGCCACATAGTCTGTCTTTCTACAAAGTCCTTTCCCTATCTACTACTCTAAACTGACTCCTTAATGAGATAAAGCAGTCCATGTGCTCTAAAATGCATGGTTTATAAGAATAAAAATTATGCCTTCATATATGTGTGCACAGATTCGTATCTAATATCTAGTGATATCAGGTAAATTTAAAAGGTGAATCTTTATTCAAATCTCATTTGCTTTACACAGGTAAGTAACTACAGGGTACTGAAAAGATGACAAAACATGACTCCCTCCTTTAATAAAAACCTTTAAAAAGATTGGAGTGTTTTAGAAGTTTGAGGATACCCATTGCAAAAATGGCTTCCTAACCAGCACCATTCATTTTTTTACTATTGGATCTGTGTAATACATAAAGGGAAAAAATTGTCCAGCTAAAGACTATTATTTCCCAATCCACTTTTTTCATCAAGAAATTGTCAGGAGTTCTTACCATTGGAAAACAAGCAAAGTTGATGTGTTTTACTTTTAGGACATAGATTTTAAAAAGTCAACATGTGTTTTTCATGGCCCTTTCATCTCATAAAACTGAGATGACAGAGTCATGAGATGAGACAAGCCTAGGGTCACGAGTCACTATGGGGAGGAAAGCTATCACAAATCAGGAGCATTTATCCATTCTGTTACATAAGTTAAAAATAACCTATTGGATTATGCTATCAAAATTTAAAAATTTGTTTGCTACAGCAATTAGTGCTACCTCAAATAACATTTATTTGCTACAGCAATTAGTGTTACCTCAGATAATACACATGTAATAATTATCACATTGAAGTCAAACCCTATTATAACACATGTGACATTGGTTTAACATTTTGTGTGAAGTGGAAAGAAAGGAGATTGAAAATATGGAGACTAGTATGTGAATTGATTTGAGATGTGTTATTAAGTCTTTCCCACCCTAAGGTCTAGGCCTCTGTTTACTTGTTCTTTCTTCTGTTCATTTGATGGCCGCTGGTTTTCATATACTGCTTGGAGACTGTTTTTGTCATTTGTCTTATTGATGATTGTATCAGCAGATCTGTTTATTAATAGTATTAATATTAAACTCTATTCAGGGAGTGGAGAAAGCCTTCTTTAAAGTAGAGGATAGTTATGTTAATGCTATAGTGGATCAGAATTATTTCCATATTAGAATGTTTACAATATAATTGTCCAGTGGGGGTATATTGGAATGATGAGCCTTAAGGGAGGCTGTTTGTGTGTGTTTAGATATTCATGCAATAAAATTTAAGAAACAAGAAGTGAGAAGTTCAGGGGAGTCAGATTGCCTGGACTCAAATTTTGAGTCCTTTACTAATGTTTCCATATCCTTACAAAAGTATTTTAAATGATCTATCTCCATTCTGTTGTGAGAAATTAGAAGGGTTGATAAGCAGTTAGGAACGACCCCTGCTGGAATATGGTATCTAGTGTTTGAAACCTGCCATCAGTTGATTAGACAAAAGACATTGCCCTGGGTTGGTCTTGTGGAGTAGTAGGTATAGCCTCCACCTGTGACATTGGCATCCGATATGGGCGCTGGTTTGTGTCTGGGCTGCTCACTTCTGAGATAGCTCCCTGCTAAAGGCCTGGGAAAGCAGCAGAAGATGGTTCAAGTTCTTGGGGCCCCGCCACCCACATGGAATACCTAGAAGAAGAGCCTGGCTGCTGCCTTCGGCCTGGCACAGCCCTGGGCCATTGCGGCCATTTGGGAAGTAAACAGTGGAAGAAGGCCTCTCTGTCTGTCTCTCCCTCTCTCTCTCTCTTTAGCTGAGTTTCAAATAAATTGATAAATCTTAAAAAAAAAAAAAAAGAAAAGAAAAGAAAAAAAAAGAAGAAAATTTTTAAAAAAGGTGCCTCAAGAAAATGAAAAGATTGACAGGGAACACAGTGAGTTCCATACCCATAGGTAATCATATGAGAAACTGGAATCTGGCATCATACCAGAACACACCACAAAGCATCATGCCTCAAATGCCTAGCAAATGATCTGGTCGGCATAGTCTATCTAAATATTGGTCAGGTCAACAATATTTTTCAACTGCCAGATCTCCCAAGTGGTCAACATAGTACTATTGGTTAACAGAAAAAAGCAAAGCAGATCTCAGTCTTATTGAAGAAGAATTATGTCTTATTATGTATTATTATTAATTCATATGCACCCCTATATAAGCTGCCAATACCCAGAACTTAATGGACCCCTCCCTTGGAACCATCCTGGCAACCTCTGTTTGCCTAACCAATGAATTTTATATGGTAAGTTTTCAATAAGTGTTATTGTTCCTCTTTCTTCCTACTATTGTTATTGTGATTCTTAATTTTACTAGTGTTTTCACTATTATTTTTAGTGCTTATAAATTCCAGTTGTTCATACCTCAACCACATGCTATTGTATACATATGAGAACTAATTCAAATATTTGTGTAAAAATCTTGATCTTGGTTAGGAGTTTGTATTTGAGAGCACTTCTATTTTGGTCTTTTTTTCTGCCATACCTTTCTATAATTATATGCATTAGTAACTTCACAAATAAAACCAGTTTTGGAATATATTTTGGTGTATTATAACAAATTATAATTTAAAAAAAAACTATAAAAGGAGCTAAAGTATTTGTTCTGGAGGTTTTGAGTGCCAGTATTTATTTGATAATTTCACTAGCTTTTTGTTCCTATGTG